AAAATTCAAAATTTAATTTTCAAGCAATATGCAATATACAAGCCCTGTAATCATAACACATGTAATTATCTCTATAATATTTGTGATTAGAGCATTGCCAATCATATGACAGTGGCTTTATTGTTGGAAATATGTGTTTGCTATTAGGATTCACATCAAATTTTGTCATTTTTGGTCATCCATACTTCAGCTGTAAATTTCATTATTTTTTTTTTTAACATATAAGTAAAGACATCTGACACACTATCTACTTGACCTTTGAACAAAGTAACTGTATATGTATTTTTCAATATATTTTAAATAATTTTTTGTCAAAATTTAGTTAAGTAATCATTAAATTAGTTAATCTTCCTATATTCTTATAACAAAAACTTATTTCTGGAAGATTTTTCAATTACAAAGTTTAAATTTTTGTCAGTAGACATGACATAACTGAAGTTAACTTTGAATAGAAAAAAATGGATATTAAAAATAGTCAAAAACCTGCTTTAAGTAATTTTTATTTTTACAATGAATTTTATACTAGTTTCTTACAATTAAGCCAAAATTAAAACTAAATAAGTTTTTTTGTCAAAATTCAGTTATGTAATCATTAAATTAGTTAATCTTCTTATATTATTTAATTTATTGGAGTATGTTTTAAGATGTTCATGAATAAAGTCTAATCATTGATATAATTTGTAATGGTTTTAGTTGAGATGATTTCATTCAGACATTTTTGTATACAAAAATATATAAGATGTGATTTGGCTACACTGTTATAAATTATTTATGCTATTTACACAAAGTAGCTCCTGCTGAAAGATATTCTGATACACCATCCTATACGAAGACACCTAAATATGTACAAATGTAGTTTATTATTTTGATAGAACTTCTGGGTATACAACATTACTGCATTTCTTATTGGGTAGCAGTATGAAAAGGCTGTTTGGTGATCCAACCCGAAAACATCCAAAATAGAGGTGACCATGGAAAAGCATGGAAAAGTCAGGCTGAAGCCAGTGATTTCCTTGTTCCTTGTTGAACCTCATTGTAAATTGAATTGCTAACAGTTTCTACTATCTCACTTCTCGCTTGTGGAACTCTTCTGGTTTCTTGCTTCCCAGTCAACTTTGATCTTCAAAAATTTGAATGCAATGTAAATCATTATCTTAATTCTTGTTCTTTTGTCTCCTCTCCTTAACAGTATTTTTTCACACATTCTCTAATACTCAATAACCCTTGCAGGCTACTGGCTTTATTTCCCTGCTTGGAGTGAAATGATAAAAAAAAAAAAAAACAATATAGAGTTGGCCATGAAAAAGCGTGGAGAGATCAGGTTGAAGCCAGTAATCTCCTTGTGTCTTGTTGAGCATCACTAGGAATTGAAGTTATTTAAATTTAAAAGGCAAATCTATTGTAATTATAAGGATCTTAGGAATGAGCATGTCTTCCTTTTTTGCCTACTCCCATTAGGAAAGTTACCTCAATAACATGTGGGAAAAACTGTCTGATGGTTTCAGTGCACAATTTCAGAGGATCAAGATTTCTGAGAAGGATGTGGAGTAGAAACATTGGGAAGCTCAAAAGAATTGAGAAACTTGATTGGCTTCTGAACAGCCTTTGAAGTCTATGGTAAATTGTCAATTGGCTTCTCCAGATATCTTCTGCAGCATCTTTTAGTTTATTTCTTTAAATTAATGATATATTGAAATAAGAATGTCTTGGTCACAGAGCAACTGGTAGTTTATATAGTTTAATGAAATTATTTTTAACATTTAAAAGTTGCTGAAGACAAAAAACAATCCACTTTAATCAAGAAAATGTTATGGTTGGATAACATTTTAAGCTAAGGTTTTTTTTGCTTGGCTGGAAAAATCCAAAATTAATCTCTGGTGATCTCTAATAATCTTGGAGGTCATCACTGACTTTTTGGGGGCTTAATTTACCTGCAATTTACCTCCAAAAATATATTTATTTGGCTGCAATACAGATCATAAATGTCCCCAAATAATTCTACCTCTGATGACAGTGAAAGTCAAATTTTATTTATGCTTATACACCTAACCATTTGTAAATGCAAAAAACATTTATGTGCTATATAGCAAACTCAATATCTCAGTCCATTTTACAAAAAATGAATGTATTTGGCTTGAAATAGCATGTGATATGCCTCAATAATCTTTGATGACTACAAATGACTATTTCCTATCTCACATTGTTCATGTGAGGTCTTGTGATTATTCAAACTAAAAGAAATGAGTTTTGGGACTTTCCACTTGGCCATGATGTGGTCATGCACAAACTGTGTATAATCTTTTTAGTTAAATATTTTAAAAAGTCTTGAGAGATTGTAAACTGTATTTATGCAGTGTTAAAAAAAGTAGTCATAAAATACTTTATGAGCAAAAACAAGAATTTTCTTCAGCGACAACTGAACTAATATACATGTGCCTCCTGTCTCCTATCTGCTGAGCTTTGAATATAAATGTCAGCTTGCTAACCTTATTTTTTTCAAAGATTAATAGGTTATGGCATGAGGCACATAAACATTTTTCTGTTAATAGCTCATATTAATTGTCATTTAGGAGATACACCTCAAGCAGAAATTAAACAGCACTATCTTAGTAGTGCATAGAAAATACTGTTACACAATTTTACATATAAGCCAGAATAAATTTAATTGTTTATTTCTATTTGATTTCTTGTCATATTTTGTCTTAGTTTCCTTGTCTAAAAATCCAATCAATGACAAATTCCTCAAAAATTATTTCTGCTCTATTGTTCAACCAATGTAAACAATAATGGATGTAGATGTAAATAGTTATAGTTTTATAATATTTAATAAATAAGAATGAATGCAAACATATACACAGGCACAGAAAAAGCCAAACAGTTATTCCAAAATGTTTAATATTAACCAAGATTTTTCTCAAAGAGGCTTTACCTAGTTAATAAGACAGTTCATAGAATAATAGAAATCTTCAAGTAAATTAAAATCAAATATAGTAAAAACTAAGGAGGAATACTTAACCTTGATTCACATAAAAGTTATGAGATAGCTATATCTCTTTAATTGGCAAAAGGCACAATCTTTTCAATATATCTGCCAATTTCATAATATATAAAATTAAAATGACAAACTAGCTTATATGAATATTCACAAATCGATCTCTTATTTATTTGGATTTGTCCCACCAAGACTGACTAAACTGCACACAAATAGTCATCTATTGTCAATGATTCACAATGTGGAAACCAAAATGTAATGTATATTTCAAATGAGTGAGATAGGTATTTGTACTTTATTACACATCCTCCTTTCTTGAGATATGATTTTGGGAGATATTAAGGAGAGGATTATGGTAAAGATGCTTGATAATAAGACTGGAAAATTTAGTTTTAAATTCTAATGATCAAGAAACAAAATCTCAAATTTATTCCTAACACATATTTTAAACACACACCTTCCTGGTTATACTTGGTCTTTATGTATATAATTATAGATACATACATGCAGAGTAACATTTAACATTCTTGTCTCACTCACAGGTCATTGTTAGTAGTTCTCCAGAATTTCCAATCAAACATAAAAGAACATCTGTAGAATGATGACTAACAAGATAGTTTTTCAACCTACTGATAGGGAAATTAACCCTTAGGAACACACTGAAGATGTAGCTCAGTACCAGACTAATAAATTATGTACATATTGTCACATAGCCACAATTTCATTAACCATATAGGCGTTAGGCTAAAGTAAAATCTTAAAGAGAAAATTAGTTAGATATAAAAGAAAAATAAATTAATAAATAAAAATAGAAATTTAATCCAATGTTTTCGACCTACGAGCGAATATATTCTATGATCAGCCATACACCTTCTTTTCTCTTCACAAATTCTTTCTCTCCTTATCCTCTCTTCCACCCACAAGCCAAGGGCCCGTGAACTTCGAAGTGACCCGACGCGAGAATGACCTGGTTCCAAGATTTCGCAGCTATCAGGCGGCTGACCATAAGTGAATTCCAGGCACCATCAGGGCCTCCTGCTGCGAGTCACGTGATCGGAACGTACTGAGCATGTGGAACTTTTGGCCATCACACAAGCACTGCGTGATTTGGCGCCCTATCCTCCCAAGCGTGCCGGTCAAGGATGAAGGGAACCCACGTGACTGTCTTTGGGGACAGCGAAAACCAAAAAAGGATTTTTCAGTTTCCCTCTGACCAGCAGCAGTTGAACGTCGATGGGCAAAAATCGTCAGACCACCCACTGAGATGAGGAAGACAATAGAGTCTGTCAACTAGTGATGAAAGGACTGCTACGGAACTGATCGACCCAACCAAACGCCTGTATGAAATGCTGTGGACCCTCGAACACTTGTGAAAAGAAAAAGAAACCAGGAAAATTGTCGGCTGGCCAAGATATTGTTTTATCATCAGAACTCTCGCTTCGGCGAATCAAAACTTTATGTGAAGATATCAACCCGACTGCAAGATAAGTTGATTCTCTTGGCTTGATCTGTTTTCATATATGTATGTATTCGCTCGCGCCTTCTATTCTTTAATGATCCCCTACCCCTTTGTTAAATGAATGTTTTTTTTCTTCTTTCTTTATTTCTTTATATATATTTATAAATAAATGTTATATTTTGAAATCCATCGTCTTGTGTCTGTTCTTCGTTGATTCCCTTGTGTCACTTCCGTTTCTGAGTGAAGACCGAGAAAAGATCCCACGTTTTCCTTTTTTTTTTTTAAACCCGTGGTTCATCTATATGCTACAAGTCGTAACAATATGTACAATTTTTTATTTAAATATATTAATACATGGTTAAATTAAGCTATATATTCAAGGTTTAACAGTTAAATTAGTGCATTTAATTATGAAACAAAACATTTTTTTTTTTTAAATGTTTGCATAAAATGTTTTATGATTTACTTTCATGTATCCCAGAACATAAAATTGTGATAACAATTTGAATGATGCAACTCAATGGGAACAAAAAGTTTAAGATCACTTACGGAGTTTTCTCTCCATTTCTTCACATCTTCGGACTTCGTTAACAAATTTACGCTGGAATGCATTGACATCTGGATTCAGCTGAAATTAAAACATTTTGATGATTTTTACTTTTATTTTTGAAAATTGTGATTTAATAAAAGATTGAAATAAAAAGATCAAAAAACATTTTTAAAAAATAAAAATATGAAAAAATATTTGACAAAAATGTTAAACTTTAGTACCAAAAACCTTAGTGTGGTATACATTAAAATTGACATTTTGTTGGCATCTATCACAATGTTGTCAAAGCCTAGTATGATAAAATAGCTAAATCTGGAATAGGAGAGAATAAAATGTAAAAAAATAAACAAGGGAAAACAAATAAAAAAAATTGTAGAATCTAAATTATGTATCATGGAAAATTTTGTCCTGGCATTTTTTTTCTTTCTAAAATTAAAGTGTAGAATTATCTACTTGATGTAGGCTCAAGAAAGTTTTTGATCCCCACTTATTTAAAAAAAAAAAAAAAAAAAAAAAAAAGAAAAAAAGAGGGTATTACTTTTAAGAAAATGCTTAAATAAGGCTATCAATAAAGTTTTGTGAAAAGTGAGTTAATACTTATTGAACACTTAATGTTATTTATAAATGAAAGTATAGATACTTTATCAAAAAATAAAAAAATATTATATAGCAAGGTACAAAAGTTAATTCATTTGATCCATGTAAATTAGACAACTAAGCAAAATATTATCTTACATCTCTAAACTGGACCAAACCCAATTCTCCAAGTTCAGACACGCAAGCATAAGCTGCTTCTGACTGCAAAAACAGCTGACATAATGTCATTTCCTCACTTCGGAATAATGTCCCCATCTTGTTTTGTTGATTCTTTTGCCTTCTTCCAGATCAGATGTTTTGCATTCTGAAAAGAGAGGATGGGAAAGTAAATTTAGGTGCTTCAGTAATAGTTTACAAATGCATTGTGGTCAATATACAATTGATATATTTATTGTCAGATTAACAGGTTTCTATGAAAACCTTGTCCAGTCGAAAATTTTAAAACAAAGAATTAAAAAAAAAAAAAAAAAAAAAAAAAAAAACTTTGAAAATCATACCTGCAGGGGTTTGAAAGTTGATTAATAAACAGCTATTAATTTTTAGTAATATTTCAATATTTACATTATTTTTTAGGACACTAACTTTTTTTTTTTACCATATGATCTTCATCTTTGATGATTTAGTACATTTCAAATATGCTCTTCATCCTTCTTCCAGTGGAAACTGCATTCAGTATTTTAGAAATTGCCTAGCATTTTTCTTTTCTTCCTTTTTAGTTCTAACGTTACAAAGCAATAGAGTCGCATAACTGAGTATTAAGGTTGCAATGTTAGTAGTATTAAAGAATAACAGACAAGATAGAGTATAATTTAACAAGTTTGTAACATAATGATGAAAAAAATTATTTCATGCAACAAATAAAAATTTTTCAACTTTATCTCCCTGTCAATTCACTTAATTTAGTATTGAATATTAATCACATTATACAGTGACAATTTCAGATCAAAATTCAGGTAATACTTATGGCAGGCTACAAACTTATTGATCTGTTCTCACCAATAGTTAAATTTTTCTTTTGAAATTTTCAAACACTGTATATTGTCTGTTTCATCATTTTAATGCTTATAATTAATATAAATACATTCTTATAAACAAAAATATTTTCTTCAATATTCTTGTATTATTTTGAACTATTGTTCTCATCTTGGCTGATATAAATGTTATTACAGTGTTTTGACCAAGTACCCTCTGGTGATAATCAGGTGTCCACTGATTGGCTGATATGGAATATCTGTTGATTATGGAGACATTTTGTCCCTGTGATATCAGTTATTGTTCGTTCTTACTGAATTGATGATTCATTACCAGATGCAAGGATTGAACACACGACAGTAACACATATATAACCAACTCCGATAATTACTATGCCACCATCCCAAAGGACATTAATGGTATGTTTTTTTGGAGCCCTTTATATTCAATGGCATATGGTTAGGATGGCAAGTTCATACCATCTATATCAATCAAAATGAGAACAAAGTTTGAAATAATACAAAAATATTTTTACATATTTCATTTTAAAAAATTAAAAGTAGTTGCAATTTAAGATCTCTATAAATTTGTTTATCTATAAAATCCTAAGCAGGCTGTAAGTGAATTTTTTTATATAGACTAAATGTAGTTTTGACAATAGTGTATGTATGTATAGATAGACAACATCTTTACCGGCTGAACCATTAAACTAATTATTTTTATGGTAATACATAACCAGTATAGTAGACTGTTGAGCAGCAACTAGTGGTACAAATTATCATTTTATTTTCTGTAACGAAAATCTATTTAAAATACCTATTCATAACATTTGCATATAAAGTATTGTAACTAAAGCTTTTAGGCATCAATTTTTCATAAAAGTTAAATGAATTTGAAAGTAGAATATTAACTGAAATATGTGAACAACTATTATGGCTCAGTAGTAAAAGGGGCAATCTTATTTAGTCATGCTAACTAACTGGTTTAGCCTGTATGTAGATATAGAGGCCATGAGCAAATCTTTTGTACCTCTAGTGCATGACAGTTATTCCATTGACTTTTTAATATGCATAATATAAAAATGATTAATGAGGTTTCTTATAAGTACCAATCATAAAAAGGAGATTTAAACAAACTGAATTTTTTTTTAACTGTCTCAAAAAGACAAATAAATTGATATTTTTTCCCCCATTTTGATAACAAAAAGAATGTTTTCTTTTTAACTCATACTTAAATATCCTATTATAATTTTGCTTGTCCCCCACTTTCATTAGTTTACACAACAGTTATGCCCTGCCAATACATCATAAATAATGGACTATTCTGTTTTGATCACATACAAAGAGGGGAAAAACACTACTTTGTTTCAAAGAGAAAATGAAAAAAAGAAAAAAAAGAGGGAGAATAAGATTAAGCTAATAAGAACAGATACTACACTTTAATCTTAGCATCTTCAGATGCATAGTATCAAACGATGGCAAACAAGTAAGGCAATAACCAAAAATTCAGTTACCATAAATAAAATAACAGTTTGCTGAATTATCTTAAAATTATTAAGAGAAATGTTTGTAAGACAGGAATTTGGCTAGTAAGTAATAATAATATCTCTAAAAACATGAAGAGGTAAAGTAATAGAGTTCTGTGTTATACATCTCTAATATATAAAGTTAAAAAATTGTGTTTGCTCAAAATACCAAAAATTAGTTAAATATATATAAAGTTGGTTGTGTGTGTGTGTAATATTACGTAAAATTCCAATAACAAATAAATGTAATTTTATCCTTTGTATCTACTAGCATGTGATTTACATCTTAGAGGCTCCTGCATATTCATTTTTAAAAATAATTTTATCATCCATTTCCAATCTGGTCATAAGCAATTGGTTTTTTACAATTGTTTAGTATTTAAATAAAGCCACTTCCTGTCCTAAAAATTTGGTAACCATCTGAGCATTTAAATCACAGTTTGGGAGTAAACAAAAGTAAGCAATGTTGATATTTTTCAATAGTATATTTGAAAACCTATCATATAAATTATATATGAGACAAGTGACTATCAAAGTGTTTAAACTTATTGAACCATTTTAATTACAATATACACAAGTCTCTCAAACAAATAACTGCACAGAACAGTGAAGCAAAAGAAAGGGATTTAGTCAACACTGCCAAGTAGTATTGCTAGTAAATAAAATTTTAAAAATACTGTTTATATTTACAAAATATAGGCATGCAATGGTATTACATTTAATGAAGCAGTTGCCGAGAGAAGACGTCGTTCACAGACCATGAAAAGAATTCATGTGGCAACATGCGTTGTTTGCAGCCATAAGCAGAATTGATTTCTGTGCAATTCGAACCTAAACCTTGCATTAACCAGTTAAGGTTGATTTATCAGAGTTGAATGAATGCACAATACACAAGCCAGGATGTGGAGAGAGTAATGAGATTAGCATATGTGAATTTAATCCAAAAACCCGGATCAAGTACTTTGTGAGTGAATAAAAGCACAAACAAGATTGACGCTCTTAACGGTATTTCTAAGGACAGCCAGGATGAACAAGAAACTGAAACAAGCGACCATGTTTCTTTCTTTTTGTCTTTTACTTCACTTTCTTTTTACTTCAATGTTTGATGATCAAATTATTTTTCATGAGAAATATTTTCATTTAAATCTATTGAAAATGAGTTAAAAAAAGTAAAAATATTCAATTTATTTTGATTGAAATCAGTTTTATATATCTCACAAATATATTTTTATTCATAGATGAGTGAAATGCATCTTTTCCCTCCAGTTTTGTTCTCTATTATCCGGATTTCATTCCACAGAAATTGATGACCCCCTCCCCACCTTTTCATTCCATGTCATACCAGATTTCAATGTCTCTCCTTGGATAACAGATTTTCATTGTTTTACCTACCTTACTTTTAATGAGTAGATAATCATTTGCATTCCTTGTCATAGTTGCATGAAATGGAATAAGAGTTTTTGGTCATGTATTTCAAGAGGAAAGCTTGGTTCAGGAGAGGTATCTCTGAAGGGTTGAACGGCTTTTGAATAACATCCTAATGTTATATTCTCTTCAGATTATTGCAGAAACAGATTTCAGGACAAAAATAAAAAAAATCTACCACAATTTGGTTACATATATAAAGAGTATCCCATAAACATGGAAAGTGAAATGTAAATCATCTACCACTGTGAATTGAATAAAGGCTTCAGTTCAAAATTGCAAGAAGGTTACCGAGTACAGATACCTGAAGAAAGCAGAAGAGTGCAATAGTTGAAATGCTGTAAGTATAACAACTAATACTGGTCTGAATAGTATAATAATGATAATTTCTTATTTAAAAATTTTTAAAAAAATGTTACTGATTAAATAACAGTGAGTGATGGGTTAATTTAAAGAGTAAAGCTAAACCATATTACCACTAGTTTTCTCTACTACTCATGCCAAATTTGACAGAATACTGAAAAAGTTATGTAAAGAGTTTAAATATATTTTAATGAAGAGTAATTAAATGTGATACAACATTGATATTTTATACAACATAAAATATACTCCATTGAAATTTAACATGCAACCAGAAATACTGATCAATGACAATTCTCCCATAACAGATTATAGTTATATTAAAAATATCTATTCTTATGAAGGAGTAATGAAAAAGTTCTCAATGGCTGAATACCGAAACTGACAATTCATCAATGTAAACTATAATTTCATAATGTTCAACAAGTTACTTTTATAACAAAAAAAAAAAAAAAAAAAAAAATTAATAAAACATTCACTTATTTTTTTCTCTTACATATGCTCAGGTTAATCTATAGGCTTCTGCTTGTATATCTGTACATGTCACTGCCTCACAAGGTATAATTTTGAGATTAATAACTCATATTCAACTATCTGAGGGTGACATCATTTAAGGCCACCAGAGGTAATCAAAGACAACAGAATATCATTTATAACCAAATTAAGCAAATTCTTGCAAAATGAACTAAAAGGTTAAGTTTGCAATGGAGATGCAAAAAGTTTTTTAACCTCACAAATGGTAGTATGGATATGGTCAAATTTGACTTCCAATATCAACAGAGGTCACTAGAGATAGAATTAGTTGTTAGCCTTTGTTATCTCTATTGCAGCCAAACAATAATATGCTTGAAGGTCAATTCCAGGCAACTAAGACAGAAAAAAATGAGAGGATAGGTGGTGCTGAACCCCAAAGTCATTAGAGGTCACCAGAGATCATTTTTTGTTTTTATTAAAATATCTCCTTTTTTCCATTCAAACAAATAAAACTTAAAGGGTTCAGGAGAAAAATGTTTTCTGTAAAC